CAAACTCCTCTATTTTCTCATGTCAATTAGTCAGGTGTAATCTCGCTCAAAACTTGTGAAATTTTCACTCCACGAGCGTTTTTTAATTTTCGTGACAAAAATTATACACCCTATATTTAGGAACGGAGGGAGTACCAAAAATGAATGATGAAATAAAGTTAAGGACTTGCAAAGAAATAATACGCGGATAAGATGCGGCCGGGATGCGTCCGTGCGGTGGGCACGCGGTCACCGCATCCCAAGGCAGGCCTGGACACGACTTTAAATCCCTACCTAAAAAACAAAAACAGGACAAAACGAACATTCGCGCGGTGAAGTTGGCCTAACGATCACCTCGTCGTGATGCATCGCCCGCCTGTTTCATGGCGTCGCTATCCGGATGCGTCGCCGCGGGGGAATAAATTAGGGGCGGCATAATTTTCTGTTGTGAGATACGCACGGGCACGGCCGACCTGAAGCGCTTCAGGTAGATCGGCGAGCTAGCTTAGGCCCTAAGTCTGCGCCACGTACGCACGCAGCTGCCGCCCCGGCGGACCCGGCCTGTCTCTCTACATGGCTGCAATAAAAAAAGTTGTTTGGCTGTATTTTTCTAGTGGCATGGGCAACTGCAAGCGATGGTGATTTGTGAGTAAACTGTCTGAATGTTGGATCAGGTCGCCGACGGCCGACCTTAATTCCGGGGACCGAAGAAATCAACCGTTTTAATGCCCTGATTTGGACCGTGCGTGACAGGGTAGCTGACGCATCGGGCTAGTCATGGTCTGTCTGCGTCCTGATATGCGTTATCTGCATATGCACTGCTCCTGATGGCGATTAGATTTAGCCGTGTGTGAAAGAGGAACCTTAGTTTCCTCGCAGAAAAAAAAGAGGAACCTTAATTTCTGAAACGGCAGCGTAGTGATACCACACCTCTCGCATGCTCCCATGCTTCAAATTTTAAAAGTCATATTTGATGAGGCGTTTGGTAGACTGCATAGATTTTGAGGTATTTTGCATCTGGGGTGGCTGATTAGGGCATGACTGCGTGACGTCAAAAAATTATGTTTTGCATATTACTCCCTCCGTTCTTAAATATTTGTCTTTTTAGAGATTTCAACAAATGACTACATACGAAGTAAAATGAATGAATCTACGCTCTAAAATATGTCTACATACATCTGTATGTTGTAGTTCATTTGAAATGCTAGAAAGACAAATATTTGGGAACGAAGGGAGTAGTTCATATGGTTTGGTAGGCCGCGTCGCATCACTGAGAAGTTCGATATTAATATTATTTTCATAAGAAAGGAGAAGACTCAAATAGCAAAAAAAATGATAACTCTTGACTCGGGAATCTATAATATGGTTACATATAGCTGATATATAGTGGTAGTAATCAAAGAGTTCTCCCCTCGTATAGTTAGGGTTCTTTTCCTCCTCCTTCGATGACTATAGTTTTGTCTTGGTCACGTTATCTAGTGGAGTAGACAACGTGGTTGTGGCGTATTGGTCCTTCGGCTCTAGTTCCAACCAATGATGGTTGGTTAGTCTCGGCATTGTCGAGGAGCATGTGAGATTTGTGTTTTCCAGAATTGGGATATTGGGTAGATCGTGACTTACCCCTTGGCTCTCCTCCAAGAAAATAAAAGAGGCGGCTAGGATTTCTACCTCTCGTCGGTGCGGCCGCCGATTTTCCTTGTCTCCTGTGGCCTTAAGGCCATGGAGGCTTGGTGAATCCCGGCCTCACCGACGGAAGTGCTCCGTTTTTATATGTTCCTGTGAGTTTTGCTTGGGTTTGTGTTCTACCCAGGAAAACGAGACGACGACGGCTCCCTGAAGATGAAGTAAAGTTTTCCCTGCCTAGCCCACGTACATCCCGGTGGTATGCCTAGCATCGTCGGAGGGTGTGTGGAGGTGTGTCTCCGGCGTATCTCGCGGGATTCGGTCGGTGCTTGTCTTTGATGGATCCGGTCTTCATTCGTCTATGTCGATGTGTCTTCAGGTTGGATCCTTTGTTGGTTGTTGTCCTGGCGCGCTGGTCCTATGGAGTCTTAGTATGATGACTTTCCGACTGTCTACTACGACAAGTTTTGCCCGGCTCTGACGAGGAAGGGGTGATGACGACGGCGCACCTTCGGCTCGCTTCAATGCTTGTAGTCATCGCTAGATATTCTACGCATCTAGATATAATTTTTATTATTTCTGGTGTTCGTTATACCGTCATGATTGATGATGAATAGATCCAAAGCCCGCCCACCTTCCCTCCGAAAAAGGATTTGTGCTTTTTGGTTCCGTCTAGACATACCTCGAATGTTCTACAAGCCCTGTCCGGTGTTATCTTCTCCGGGGATCGCAGCCATGGGTATCTTGTGGTCTGCATTGCCCGCTCCATACAACTGCTTCTATAAGTCTCTGGCTTTGAACTAGTTGTCTGCGGAGACGGAAGGCCAGAGGCAGCAACGAGCTTTGCATATGGTACACCGCGATGGATATAGAAGGAAGAAGGCCCTGACACCTAAAAAATTTAGATGTATTTTTCAGTTTTTGTAATAATGTTTTAAAGGTTTGTTCTACTTAATATACTAGTATGGTACATGTGCATTGCACGCATGAGATTTGACAATCAAATTATGAATAAATATCACATTATAGCATGTAAATTTTGAGTCATATATGCATGATTTAGATATTCGTTTAATTCTTATAGTTCATCTCATTCAAAATCAATTAGTTCTTATTGAAAAACTAATCTGTTTGAAGATTTATGGAGTTGTGCGTTGTAAAGTATAAAGTAAAAATAAATAATGACAATTCATCTAAAAAAATTGGGCAATTATAATACGGAAGATTCTAGAACAAAGAATAAGTGCTTGTGTTTTGAGATTTGTGCATTATGCTTAAGTTCAACCATGGAATCTTCTAAATTATACATGTGACAAAATTTGGTGAAATGTAGATGATATCCAACGGATAGTAGTGCTCAGATTTGCCATCTCTGCACCGTTGGATTGGCTTCATTCAGTGACCATCTTTTAAAGTTATTCACATACTATATAGGGGTATAGATGATCTTCGGCCTTTACAAATAAAGAGAAATAAATAGTAAAAGATTTTCCCTAAATACAGGGAGAAATGTATGAAGGGGAATCGATTCGGCCGATGATGTCCGGTAGGCTCATGTACACGTAGGCACATGCTCACCATTCACCAAGCCAGAAGATAAGCAAGGGAGGGGGGACACACAAAGACAATTTCGTAACTGAACCTGGAGAACCAGGGCAGCTGTCAGCGCCTACAATGCAATGCCCATCGCTGCAAGAAATCTCGACCAGCGATGAAAAAAAATATTATAAACAAACAAAAATACGCATCCTCTTGCAGATATTTTGCAATAGACAGCGCGAAAACTTGAGGCCTAATTAAGCTGCAGGAGGAGCATTTTCTTTTCTTTTGAGAGAAGGCTGCAGGAGTTCAGACGGAAGAGAGAGAGAGAGAGCCAGCATCAATGGCCTGCAGAAAAATGTTGCGTGCAAGGTGAGCCAGACATTTCGAGAAGTGGTCAGGCCCAGCGAGAGAGCCCGGCCGGGATCCCTGCGGGGAGAGGGGAAAAGGAACCCGAGCACCGGCGGCAGGTTGGTCAGGTCAGGTCACGTGCGTGCATGCGCTTCGCAAGGGCAGCACGCTACTGACGTTGCCGGCTGGGACTAACTTGACCGCCACGCAGCACCCGTTGCCAATTCGAAGTCCACCATCCCAACCAACACACACCATACACGAGCCGAGATACTACGAACGAGACAGCCCACGAGTTACAGGCCGAAGAAAAAGGTGTGCCGTGACGATCGAGCCGGTCAACGCCACAGCGCGGAAGGTCAGCGTTGGGCCGGGCCGGGCTGACGGGTGGGGCCCAAAGGGAAGCCCCTCGGGCTACTTGCTTGTCAAGAAGAAGAGGAAGAGCGTGAGCGTGGTGGAGGGAGGGAGCGTCTTAAGCGCCAAGAAAGAGGGAAAAACCGATTAGGAATACAGTACAGTGTGAGCAGCTGTCGGAGTGAAAGCGACGCGCCGTCCGTTTCGTGCGTGCTGATGAACCTGCCGCGCAAGGAACTGAGGGGTGGGGCGAAGGGCAAATTCGGCACAACTGCCTTCCGCTTTCGTACATGGGCGGAAAACAACTGTGGTGAAACGGAGGAATTGAACATCTCCATCACGAGCCTCCAGCGCCTACGGAGAAACTAAAAACTGGGAACGCGACAGATATCTTCGATTTTTTGACATGATTTTTTTTAATCTCTGGAGACACCACATTATATGAGGGTCGGCGCCTCGTTTTGACAGTAGTAGTGATTGTTAGATGGTTCCAGAATCTCGATGTAATTTTTATTATTTTTGAGGTGCTCTGTAAGTTCGATCAACTTTGATAATAGATCTAGATTTTCAAAACAAAAGTGAAAAGGGTGACTTCGTAATTTATTATACTTGTGAGAAAAAAGATTGCACTTCCTTTGCATATCTGCCCAATTCGATGCTTACTGTAGTACAGTAGTACTATACTTCCCAACCAAGTTTCGTCAAAAAACAAAAACTTCCAATTCAAGCAAGTAGTAGTTGAAAAAGGGAAACGAGGCAAGTGTGGATTAGGAGAACGGTTATGGGCCAAACTAGACCCGTCTAGACTTCTCCACCAAGTCACCTCGGGGCAGGGGCAAAACCGCCATCCGAAGAAAAGATTTTTTTTCCTGAAAGAAGAAACCGCGCGATCGGGCGAGCCGTCTCAAAACTAAACTAAAAGGCGGCACCACGCGCCCATCCCCCTCCCTCCTCTTCCTTCCGCGGCAGAATACAAAAACCGACGTCCCCGCCGACGTGCGCCTCACGAGACCGACCCGTCCGCCGTCCCACTCCCCCGCTTCTTATATATTCCAGCCCCGCCTCCGGCCCCAACTCCACTTAGACCGCCTCCGCGCACGCATCATCGACGGTGAAGCGTAGGTAGCGTCTCCACAGATCGGGATCAGGCGGCGATGGACTTCTCCGGCGATGTCAAGCAGGCGATCCCCCGCCCGGCCGTCGCTTTCGGCGGCATCGGCAGCGCTGGCCCGTCCCCGCTGCTCCGCGGCTGGCGGGAGTTCAGGCGGAGCGGCGCGCCCGTCAGGTTCCTCTGCTTCGAGGACGGCGCGTGGGCTGATGTCGAGGGCGAGGCCGCTGTGCCTCTGCGCCGGGCGTTCCTGGACGGGAGGGTGGTCGCTGAGGCTGCCTATGGCGGCAGGGAGTTCCTGTTCGACTTCTTGCGGATGGTGCGCATCGACACTGGCACCGCCCAGGAGGTCGCCATGGGCTGGATTGACGACCGCGGGGCCTGCTTCTTCCCTGTGCCGGACAGCGGGCGGAAGAGGAAGAGGGGCGAGCCTGAGCTGGAGGACGGGGCGTCGTCCGGGGTGGAGGAGGGGTCCGACGAGAGCAGCGACACGGTGGAGTCCGGCAGGGTCGGCAAGGCGGCCCGCGGGACTTGGGGCAGGGCGGTGAGGCTGGTGGAGACGGACAAGTTCTACCAGGTTGTCAAGAAGCTCTTCCTCAGCGGGATTGCCCCCCGGGTGGGCGGCGGCGTGGCGATCACGGCGGTGCACAAGGTCGCGCAGGGTCCTCGGTGCAGGGCGTTCCAGCAGCAGGGACAGCTCCTGGCCGCTGCGCGCGGCGCCGACGGGGGCAATGCCAAGTTCGCGTGGTACGGCGCGCCGTCGGCGGACGTGGCCGCGGCGGTGGAGCACGGGTTCGGCAGGACGAACAGCCGCGTCCTCGGCCATCGCGCGCACGGCGACGGCGTCCACCTCTCGCCGCCTCAGTCTCCTTTCGCCAGGTCAGTTCGGAGTCCTGAATTTGTGGTTTTGAATCTTGAATTCTTGATCGATGGCAAGCATGAACATAGGCACATAGCTTAAGCATAATTTATCAGACACAGTTACCAATTCGGGATTTGTTGCAAATTGCATTCATATTTCCGCATCTCTCGAGAAATTTTTGTGTTCATACCTACACTTCTACGTAGTTTTTTAATTGAGAATTGACTTCTAGTTTTAAATCATGAAATAACTTGTACTAAATCATGAAATAACTTGTACTACAAAATATTCCTTTGTTCTATTTGCTCTCCTAGGCTGCTCGTTTATATCCGTAGACATCACCACATCAATTGATTCCATGTTATTTTAGCCTTTGGTTTCTATATATCTTGATTCATACTCCTTGCTCAAAAATTAGGGGGGAAACAAGCTTGCATAAACGACAGTATTAGTTTATCTATGAATGCAGTAGGTAATGGTTTGTGGAAGGGAGGAATATGAGCAAAATTAAATCATGTTTCCTGCTAGCTAGAGTCCGGATGATGAAATATGTTCTGAATGTTCTGTACTGTACATAAATAAACTAACGAGTATGAAATCATTTTTGTGCAGCGCAATGCTAGCAAATGCAGATGAGAACGGCGAGGCGCACATCGTGCTGTGCCGTGTTCTGATGGGCCGGCCAGAGGCCATCCCAGCCGGGTCCTCCCAGCTCCACCCCAGCAGTGATAATTACGACAGCGCCGTCGACAACATGCAGAATCCCCAGTGGTACCTTGTTTGGAGCAAGGACATGAACACGAGGATCCTCCCAGAGTACGTCGTCAGCTTCAAGTGCCCCAGCCTCCGTCAGATGCAAGGTTCGTGAGCGCCCTGTCTGAATTGGTGCTGCAGTTGCTCCCAGATGTGCTTGGATCTCAGGTCATTGCTCGTTGAAATTTTTGGGTTTCAGGATCATCGGAAGCGACCTCCCAGCTAAAGAAGCCTTCGCCGGTGGCCCGTGACATGTTTCCGACGCTTCTAGCAGAGATCCAGCGGTTCGTGCCATTGTCCAAGCTGCAGACATTACAGGGGACCTACAATCGCTTCAAGGTAAATTGGTGTTCCTCGCCTAGTCCTAGTTCTTCACATTCATTTCGACGGCCGATCGGCACAGCTGCTGCATTTGATTAACGGGATTGTGCCTAGTTCGTATTTACATCTCATGGACAAGTAATTTGTGATACTGCAAGCACTGAAGCACAGACAAAGTGTACTCAACTACGATTTCCTTTGTGCTGCAGAAAGGGCAGATGAAGAAGGATCAGTTCATCCGATTCTTGCGCGCCTTCATCGGCGACAGGGTGTTGACAGCAGTTGCCAAGAAACTCCGAGGATACTGATGGACAGTGCAAGGGTGTTCTTCTGCTAGTTCTGTTGTCGTCAAAGTGGTGAGCTGGTGGTGAGGTGGTAGCTCATTCGGCTGACTCCATAGAACCGGAAGGGTGTGCGTGTCGGGTATCAACAAGATAGTTCTTCATTTCTTATGTCGCCGTAGTTTAGCTGAGATTTGTTGTTGATCTCAAGGACATAGAGGGGTTACGGCAATCTTCCATTAACCAACACAAAGTTAGATTTTATTCTTGGTTTCTGCTATATTTTACTTGGTATTTTGCTACCTGCAATCTGTACAGACTGAAAGTTTTACCAATTTATGCCTGAAAGCAATCATTTGTTCGACGCCAGCCAACAGTTTCTTGTGTATCTCTATCGAAATACCATTGACATCTCATCATAGGTTCAGATATTTTTCGTTTATCTGATACAGTAGAAGATAACCGGTGGCCTGCATTGAGTGACGCGAATTCAACAATGCCGAATGTACCGAATCATTGATGCGAAATAAATCCATCGTTATCATAAGACCCAAACTTTGATCCAATCTACAAGGAAAACCTAAGACCAAAAATTGATCCAATCTACAAGGAAAATCGAACCGAGAAACCACACAGCTGAAGGGCAATACATCAGGAAAACAGGTGAACACCCCATACATATTTACAACCCAACACAAAGATCAACAACGAAAGAAATAACCCTAAAAAAACCAAAGGAATACGTTATTGGGTGGAGCAGCACATGTTATATTGTAAGCACCAACAAGGCAACCCTAGCAAAAACAACACGAGGCAAACTCAAAAGTCGCCGAGAGAGCACAACAACAACAGAAAGTCCAAACCACTAACAAAGGGGAACGTAGGGTTCCACCAGCAATGAGAAGCACCATTGCCAGCCTGGAGCAATCCAATACCCAACATTATGAGTTTCGATGTTGACGGATCTAACCAAAAGTCTGTAGCGATCAGACCTCAAACAGTCTGATCTCTGTGCTCCGGTGTCATCCCTGGATTAGTAATACTGACATCACACAGTACTCGGAGGATTTATAACAGAGTAGCAATCACACACTTATTACATCGAGTGTCTCCATGGATAATTTATTACAATAAATATGGCTTAAGACCATCTAATAACGATAACAAGGAAGGCTTGGAAGATAAGTTAGTCCATCAACTCCAACGGCATCACTGAGTATAGAACCACGACCTAAAACTCCTTAATCATCGTCTGAAAAGTAAGCAACATTAACGTTGCAGACCGAAACGGGTCAGCACATGGAATATGCTGGCAAGGTAACACATAGAGAGTAATGGAATGAAACAGCTATACTATATGCATACTTGGCTGGTGGAAAGCTCTATGGTTACAGTTTTTGCGTAAAGCTAATTTTTCCTTACTTCAAAGGAATAAATTTATTTAACTATCATGGTAGTTGTTAAACATTGAGAATGGTTGACAGCATCCTCAATCCCAATTAAACATCATCATTATCATAAACCCAACAAAATTAATTTAGAGTAACATGTTGAGATTCACATGATAATCCAGGTACTAGATACTCAAGATGTCCATAACCGGGGACACGCCTAACCATGATTAGTTTATTACACTCTGCAGAGTTTGCGCACTTTTCCCCACAAGACTCGATCACCTCCGTTTGATTTCTCGCACTACAAAGTGTTTGAGAAACGGATGACCGAGACATAGTCTTTCAGAAGCGCTAGCACCTTACGATCGGGTAGACCGTACCACCTACATCCCCTACATCTGCTAGTCTACCACTGTAAGAGTTCGCACGACTTAGTCAACTATGCTAGAGCCCATAATATCTTATGGCTGCACACGGAAGTTTCTAGTATGAATAATCTCATGATCCCTTTGAGCCTGAGTGGCGGTCCAAAAGAAAACAGGCAAGTCCTGGATTACCCAGGTGCCTCAATCCACTCAGATGTGTGTTTAAGTTGCCAGCTTAGATAAACCATTAATTAACAAACTCATATCTGTCATGGATATCACTCACCCAATCCACGTCTACTAGCATTGCATGGCATAATAAGCAAACGTAGAAGTAACTCTCAAAGGTTTGAAAATAAACAGGTAATAGGTACTACCTCAACTACTTCCCATCCCACAATTTAATTAGATCCTAACCATGCAATATTTGAGGATTTGATCTAATGCATTAAAACTGGGTAGTAGAAAAGTTATGATCAAAGTGTTACTTGCCTTGCTGATGATCCGGGAAACCTAGCGATTCGAAGTAACAGGCGGCGCACTCCGGGTATTCTATCGCAGACAAACAAACAAGCATACAATAAGTACTCATCTAATGCACGGGTAAAAGTCAAATAAAAGATCTAACCAGAAGGTTCAACTTAAGAACTCCGGTTTGCAAAAAGAATCAAATCGAACGAAGCAACGAAAGTCAAACGGCGAAAAAAAACAACTTCGTTCTACAAATCTGGATCTAAGTCAAATTTTACAGTAGCAAAAACTTGTTTAAGTTGGTTAAACGGATAGAGGGTTTTGAGACGAAACTCCAGGCGCTTAAATCGCCTGATTCCGATAAACGAGCGAAAAGTTATACTAAAAAGAAAATCGCATCAGAAATCACGATCAGAAAAATCGCGGATTTAATCCGAGAAAAAGAAAAACGACGAACGTTCGCTAGAACGAACGAATGGACGAACGCTCGCTAATTAAATAAATCGGAAAAACCGATCTATTTAAAAAAAACGAAACAAAAAAAACCGACGATTTTTCGAAAAGAAAAAAATAAATAAAAAACCGGCGCGGACTTCGAGGCGCACCTCGGGCGGCGGGCGGCGCGGCGCTGGCGGCGGCGGCGGCGGGGCGGGGCGGGCGGCTAGGGTTCGGGGGCGCGGCTGGACCTCGGCTGGCTCCCCCCGGCTTATAAAGCCTAGCGGGCTAGGAGTCCGGGTCAGACACGGCCCGTTAGGTCGGTTGTTTTTTTTAAATAATTACGCGCAGAAGAAAAATAAAAAGAAATCTAAACGGACTCCGAAAATCCCGAAATAAATTTTCCCGGGCTTCTAAAATCAAGCCGCACAAGGTGAACATTTATTTGGGGCCTAAATGCAATTTTAAAAAACGCACATTTTTCCTAAATTCAAATAAAATAACGGAAAATTCCGAAATAAAATCTTATTTGATTTTATTATTAAATCCTCAATATTTATTTATTTTGGGAAAGTCATTTTATTCCCTCTCTCATATTTTTGTAATAGAAATAATTGATGATAAAATAATAAAAATCAAATGATCCTATTCTCAAAATTTGAGAAAACCCAAATATGAAAATAAAGAATTTCCCAACTCTCTCCGTGGGTCCTTGAGTTGCGTAGAAATTTCGAGGATCAACCAATATGCAAAATAAAATATGATATGCATTGATGATCTAATGTATAACATTCCAAATTGAAAATTTGGGATGTTACAAAGTCGAACTTAAAATTTGTATCCCTTAACTCGAGGTTTTGAGTCAACACCTTCAACACATGTCAATGTCTTATATAGTCGGAGGTGAAATCATGGGTTATCACCTGGAGAATCTACGTACTTATTGCAAAAAAATGTGGCTGCCAGCAACAACCTCTCCACCGGCTAGCTTCTTCCCGCTAACTGGATCAAGGTGTTGAGAAAACCCAAGGCCCCCTTGCAATATTGGAGAAAACACCTCGCCTCCTTACACCCCGCACCACCTTCAACCCAGGTCGCCAGGAAATAGATGGGTGGTGGATGTAGGATCCACCACCATAGCCACCTTGCACATGCCCAAATGCATACGTTGATCAGTGGCCTGAGAGCCTGTTTCACCTTCGTTGGCCCTAGAATTTCCTGCACCACCACCGCTTCCTAGGGTGTGCTGGTGAGGAGCGCTACCACCGGATCGATCTGTCTTAGGACCTGATGACCGACAAGTATAGCGGATCAATCATAGTCCTTTCGATAAGTAAGAGTGTCGAATCTGACGATGAGCAGAAGGAATCAATAAGCGGTTTTCAACAAGGTATTCTCCGTAAGTGCTGCAAAGTAGTTGTGACGAGTTTGATAGTAAGATAATTCGTAACAAGTAACCAAAGTAGCAACGTGCAACAAGGTGGCCCAATTCTTTTTATTGCAAAGTATAAGCCGAAATTAGTTCTTATAGTGATTAAAACGTTCTCGAGGACACATGAGAATTTCGTGAGAATTTCGTCTAGTTACTTTCACCATGATTCATTGACTCATGTTCACTACTTTCATAAGTTGTTATGTGGGTGGACCGGAGCTAAGGTGTTGTTCTTACTTGAACAAGAAACCTACTTATGATTACCCCCTCTCGCAAGCATCAACAAATACAAGAGAAAAATTAAGATAAATCTAATCATGACATTAAACATATAGATCCAAAACAGCCCCTTAGGGAACAACTCATAAATTGGGGTTTAGGTTTATGTCACTCCGATAGCCCGTCATCTGCAAACTAATTCCACAATGCCTTTCCTAAGGCCCAAAAATTGTGATGTTGAAGGAAATATGCCCTAGAGGCAATAATAAAGTTGTTATTTATATTTCCTTATATCATGATAAATGTTTATTATTCATGCTAGAATTGTATTAACCGGAAACTTAGTACATGTGTGAATACATAGACAAACAGAGTGTCACTAGTATGCCTCTACTTGACTAGCTCGTTAATCAAAGATGGTTAAGTTTCCTAACCATAGACATGAGTTGTCATTTGATAAACGAGATCACATCATTAGAGAATGATGTGATTGACTTGACCCATCTGTTAGCTTAGCACTATGATCGTTTAGTTGCTTTTGCTTTCTCCATAACTTATACATGTTCCTATAATTACGAGATTATGCAACTCCCGAATACCGGAGGAACACTTAGTGTGCTATCAAACGTCACAACGTAACTGGGTGATTATAAATATGCTCTACATGTGTCTTCGATGGTGTTTGTTGAGTTGGCATAGATCGAGATTAGG